TCTCAGCACAAACGATTAGATATGCGTCTAATAGCGCACATTTATATAGGTAAAACATTTAAACTAACATTGTAATATGCTTGAACTGTTTTATATCTATAGATTTTATTTTAGGCAAGTCGTGATTATTTGAGAAGGCTAATTTGATCAAACATAGGCTAAGATCAACTCACTGTCTGCCGCTTGCAGCTTGGTCGTTACTATAAAAAAACAACAACTTACATTTATCGAACCATACAAAACGGAACTATTTTAATAGCTGAAACAGTAGTATAAACTGTTTTGGGAAAAGGGGAAAAAAGACGGTCTCGGGCTGGCAATTCTGATAAGCTGTCGGACATGGGCCGGGCTAGGGACTAGGCCTATATTTGAGGCCCGTGCAGGGCTCTACCAGGAACTATGATGAAGCAGCGCTAAATATATAGCGTTATGTCAAAATACTAATTTATTTCATTTTAAATTAAACAAATGTAATCCTGATAGTATTCCCACTTTTTACAAAATGTAACTGTAATCTGAATACTTTGTTTTTTGATGTAACTGTAACGGATTACAGTTACTTGATTTTTGTATCCTGATTACGTAACGCCATTACATGTATTCCCTTACTCCCCAACCCTGGTTATGACATATACAAGTATGTTTGTGTAAGTTTCATGCACACTATCTGTAAACTGTCAAGCTGTGTATGTTTAAAATGTTTCTGTATGTGTGTTGAGGTGTTGATAATGGCAGTGGACTGGGCTGGATATGGATACGCAGCACTAGTAGCATCTGGAGGAGTCATAGGATACGTCAAAGCAGGTAGTGCGAAAGATCAAGAGATTATCATGTAGGCCTATATAGAGTTTACAGGATTAAGAGCCCAAACTTGTTTGATGGTCATTGCTTGTGCAGGCTGGTTTGGTTGGCTGGCACTTGTCAGACTGGACAACTGGCTAAAAACTAATCAGCTAAACACCAGCTTGATCAGATTTTACCCCACACATGCACCACCTTTATGTCATTTTTAACAAAACAAAGTTCTTTAATCACTTATTTTTACATAAATGTATTTGGTTCCTTTATATTCAGTAAAAATGTCATACACCTTGGAACCAAAAAAAAAAAAACCTGCTTTCAGCCCTGTTGTATGATTGTAGAAAATATGTTAAAAAGGTTTTTCCTGGATAATAACATAAACATCTAAAAGTTAAAAACTTCTTGTTTTGTAATCTGAATTCCTTATGACACTTTATACCGTTCATCAAGACAGTGTTTTAGTATATTTTATGTTTATTTAATTAATTAAGTTAATTAATTTGTCTTGCAGGCAGGGTTCCGTCCCTGGCAGCAGGGCTGCTCTTTGGTGGTTTGGCTGGTTTTGGTGCTTACCAGACATCACAAGATCCCAAAAATATTTTCCCTCTCTTAGCTGCATCTGGGACACTTGCTGCTATCATGGGAAAGAGATTCTATAACTCACGCAAAATAATTCCAGCTGGTCTTATTGCTGGAGCTAGGTAACTAACACACATCACACTTCATTTGTCTAAAACATGGTTTCCCTTTTTCGTAGATGATAGAGCTCTCGACTATTAACAAAATATTTTAGCTCATTAACAACTGATAAAAAAAGACAAATGAGTCACATACTCATGCAGATTCCAGCCAAAAGTGTAAAGGGAAGAAACAGAAATATTATAATTCAGCCTCTCCCACTCCAAAAATCTCAGCATGTCACTTATAGCATAAAAAGTACCATAGTATTAGCATCTGTTTGTGTCTGTGTGTGTTTTAATTATGACATGGTATTCATTGCAGTACCTTATAAATATTGAAGGTATGAATATAGCAACCTTTCAATCACCCCAGTTTATTTCTGCAAGTGCTTTTTCAGCATGTGTTGCAGCTTAAAATGCAATTTATCATTAGTAAAATCATTTTCTCTTATTTACTCCAGTTTTGTTTGAGCAGAGGCCCCTCATTAGTGTTGTTTTCCAGGTATTGTCACATGACTGCAGTCAATTATCAACTTAAATCTAAAGGGCAAGTTCACTCAATTTTGTTTACTCAAACCTGTATGACTTGCTTGCTTCCATGAAACAGAATGGGAAGAACTTTTGCAGCTTTTCCATAATACCATGACTGTCAAACTCCAAAAAAACAACATTAGTACTATCAAAAAAGAAGCTCATGTGCCTCATCTGCTATACTTCAAGTCTTCTGAAGTCATGCAATAGCTTTGCTAAAGGAACAGACCAAAATGTGTCTTGAGTCTGATGTCTGATGACAGAATTTTCATTTTTACCTGAACTATTATCTTTAAATGTTTCTTGCAGTGTGCTGATGCTGGCAAAACTCGGAGCCGGAATGCTACAGAAACCTCAGCAATCATGATACCCAAACAGAAATCACTGTCTGCTTTCATTCAAACATAATTTTCTTTGAACAACATGTCATTAAAGCTCATTGTCATATTTTGTATAAAATGTACAATAAAAATGTAGTTGTCAGGAGAATTTTTGAATCAAAGATTTCTAATACAAACATACCCATTTTATGCATATAAAACACTTACAAAACACTATTTATTGATTTGAGTTCAGCCCAACCCAATCGCTGTTATCTACATTGTATGTTTATGTGGTAGTGTCAGTACCGTTTACAGGGGAAAAGAAAAAAAAAACTGAAAAAAGGCTACTCAACATACAAGGAAATATAAATAACACTGCCTTGCAGTATGAATCACAGTAACAGATAAAAAAAAAAACAAGAATATATTTAAAAACTGCATACTATAAAAAAATGTCAAAAAGGTTACAAAAAATAAATGCAATATATGGGATATAGATCTACCCATTCTATTGAAAATAAGGGTTACAGGCATTGGATGCATAAACTTAACAAGACAGATTTAAAGATGAACAAATTGTTAGGTTTGTAAAAATCTATTGTACACAGATTCTTGTTTTTTATCGAACAATTAATCAGCCGTGGGCTTACAGTAAGTGGTGTGGATGCTCCTCGCAGAAACAAAAAGATATGTGTTTATACAATATTCACGAGTGTTGAAACAGGCCTTAGTCCTCACAGCAGCTGTAATAATACAGCTCGCATAATAGATATTAGCGATGGCTTCCATATTTTGCAGCCCAGTCAACCCGCCCATGCACTGACTGAACTGGTGGAGCACGAGCAATGAGATTGGCTGAGTTTTTGCCCAGAGCCGAGTAACTCATTCCTTTAGGTTGGGTTCGCTCCGCTCTCCTTTTCCATCCATCATAATCTGAGAAGAGAGAACAAGCTTTTAACACTTGTGCAAATTCAGCAAAGCCTAAGTTATGGGCTACTTCTTACGTAATAAAGAGGCCGAGTCCAAAATTAACACTTGCCAAGGGGCAAAAGAGTAAAAACTGTATTTGGTAAATAAAACCAGTTGGCCAGTAACTTAATTAGGAACTTCAACATCACATGGCTCACAACATATGAACAATAGTCTGGCAGAGGTGATTAAAATCAAAGACAACGGTCTAGTGACTTATGTGGAATAGTCCTTGCATTGGCCACCAAAATGGTAATATGAGAGGGAAAAAATTATCATGCGTCTTAACGTTGTGACAGCTGCCGTTATACACTGACTCATAAATGATGCTGCAAGTGACAATGATTTCAGTGTATCTGTCACTAAGAGCAAGGTATCACTTATATAAATCCACTGTACAAACAATAAAAATATATAATTTTAATAAAAATAAACCCAGAAGGTGTGACAACGTTAATTTTGGACCCTGGGAAGAAAGTGCTGACTAATGCCGAGTTCACACTGCACGATTTTCAAAGTCGTCGGGTTACCGTGGTTTTCACGCTGCACGACTATCTGAGGTCAGTCGCTGCTGTGTTCACATTGCATGATGGATCGGCGACAGGAGGTTACACACTGCATGACTTTACAATAGGAAGAATCGCCGACAACTCTGTCTGGTCCGCAAACTACGTTTCACAACAAAACACACGCGAGAAGTGATAAGGAAATATGTCATCGCCAATGTAGTTTTCAGTCAGAAATCATTGCACACAGCGTGATTGTGAATCGCCGACAGCTCCAGATATATAGCATGCCAAATATTTTGCGGGCGTCGGCGATTCCCTCAGATCGCCTCTTTGATAATTCACACTGCGTGATTGTCGCTCGCGTGAACGAGCACCGATTTGCCTCCGATTTCGGGCATTTGTCGGAGATTTCGCAAAACCTGTCGGCGAGTGAAAAATTGGGCTAAAATCGTGCAGTGTGAACTCGGCATAAGACTATTCTGAGATTTTACCTTCAGAGATCTCACTGACTGAAACTGTAGAGGAAGGTTTGGACTTTGAAGGTTTAGCTTTGCCAGTTTTTGAGTCAGCAGTGGCAGAGAGATCAACTAAGAGCAGATATAAAGATGGGAGAGAAACAGACAGAGACAGAGTGAATGAATAAATGAATGTAGAAAGAAACAGCATATCTTAAAAGCTCTAGCAACAGATATGTAGAACAGAAAAAAAAGAAGCTTACAAGGGGAGTTTAAATTTTGGGTCTCGGAAGAATAACATTAAGTATAAAGGTGTGTAGGTTTTGTGGACCAAAGGATTTCAAACTAGACAAACCAATAATACCACCCCAAACTCACAGCACTAATTGAGGTAATGTTGCTATGTCAGACCTATGACATTTTTAAAACGTAGGATTGTGGAAAAGGCTGTTTATAAAGGTTACCATTGTTTTGATAATTTTCTGGTTGTTTGGGCTGCTCAATCAAACAGAGCAATGTTTTGATAATGCCTTTGTGTTTACATTTGTCAAAGAAACAAACATACAAATGATAATAAACAAAAGAAAATATTTTAAATTTACAAAAATTACACACTTCACCTTTAAATTTAATATCAGTATTGCGAAGACAACATAATTGTATCAGTATACACAAGCCAACATGCATGCAGCATGTAGAAAAGCATAAAAATGATGATTCCATAATGCTGTTCTACCAAACAAAGAACGTCAAAAATAAATGATTTGAAGATGAATTGTAAAACCAAACTCTTACGCGCATGCTGGTGTCCGAGAGGGGCAAGCTGAATCCTTTGTTCTACGGATCCCACTTCTTTCTTCTGGAAAGAAGGTATATATCCTCCAGAGAGATTGTATGTGGTGGTTACAAAGTTTCCTGTGGGCAGAGGCCACAACATAGAGTCAAGAAAGAAAACACGACCAGCTAAACAAGCTAAACAAACTAATCAAACAAATGTTTATCTACATTTTTGCAAAATATACCCACTCAAGAGGTGTGAAAATTACTCATTCTATCAAATGTCAGTGTGAAGAGTTCCACAATGACTATTTTTCTTGAAGTGTCTTACAGACATTTACACCCCAGACCAATGTCCATGATAATGTGGGCAATGGCAGAACAATACTGTTGCAAAGAGATATTGTCCTTTCTTTAGCTTTATCTGTGGCTTTGCTGCTGCTTTCCTCTGAATCCATGGGCAGTAATACAGTAAAGCCAGACAGGCCATAAAAAACATGAAGCAGGTTTGGGCAAAATTCAGAATTTACACTGAACAAAATTATAAACGCAACACTTTTGTTTTTGCCCCCATTTTTCATGAGCTGAACTCAAAGATCTAAGACTTTTTCTATGTACACAAAAGGCCTATTTCTCTCAAATATTGTTCACAAATCTGTCTAAATCTGTGTTAGTGAGCACTTCTCCTTTGCCGAGATAATCCATCCACCTCACAGGTGTGGCATATCAAGATGCTGATTAGACAGCATGATTATTGCACAGGTGTGCCTTAGGCTGGCCACAATAAAAGGCCACTCTAAAATGTGCACCAATGACATTAATAATCCAGTGAGAGGCAGCAGTGCACTAATATGTTGCTAATGTGCAACATAACAACAGAAGAAGTAAAGAAAGAGAGTCTTATGTTAACACACACTAAATCCACACTATCTCGAATACTGCTCCAGAGCAGTATTCGAGGCTTAGTGTATCCCATCATGCATCATGTTGAAATAAATCGTGAGACTTTTTGCCGAGATCTCCTGAGAGGTCACGGAAACCTTTCCAATGTATGTGAAATATTGATATTTTGTTTTGAATTTGAAGTAATGCCTCACTCAAGTTTAGTCAAAGCCCCAAACAATTATATTTGTTTTATTTTACATAACGAGACCTTTCAAATGACATATGTCACATGACTATCTGAGCTGTATGATGTTTCTGACATATTAGAGTACATGGCACAAAAAAAAAAAAATTTCATAAATTATGAAAAAAATATATATATTTATCCGCAAATAACTCAGCACTACTTAGGAGTTAATCAAAGGGGCCAGCTTTCAAATGACACCTACTTTGTGGGGATCAAGCCATTGATTTTAAATATTATTTTTGCCTTTCTGCTTGGCCCATTTTGCAGGCATGTTGCTTTTAGTTTTTCTTTTTTTAAACTATATATCATGTTATACAAGTTCTGCATCTACCACTTAACAAACACCATTAGGGATTTTATACCATAGAAGTGGTAGTTAGAATGTGCAGTACCAGTCAAAAATTTGGACACACCAACTCTCTTTACTATAGTGCAAAATTGTAATAAACTTCTACTGTGTTTATTAGAATCAGCTTTGTGTTGCAGAAACAGACAAAAACATTTTTCAAAAATTATGAAAAAAAAAAAAAATATTTATCCGCAAATAACTCAGCACTACTTAGGAGTTAATCAAAGTGGCCAGCTTTCAAATGACACCTACTTTGTGGTGATCAAGCCATTGATTTTTGAAAAATATGATTATTATTTTTTTCTTCGCTAGGAGGCGCCCACCGGCGGTACACTCCGGTTTAGAGGAACTAGGCAGCACTGGTTATGGGTTGAACACAATGGTTGGATGCATTCGAAAGCTGAATTTCTAAGCTTTAAAATGATACCTAATTCTTTAAAAAAAAAAAGTTATATAAAAGATAAAATAGACCGAAACATTCTAGGTTTTACATTCTGCTTGCCAAGTGTTCAATAGAGCTCTCCAACTGATTTCTTCAATTCATGGGTTTAGGTTTTATTTACACACGAAAGATGCAATAGATTGTTTTGATTTTGGACTCATTTCAATCGTGAGAATCTGCTGTAAATAGAATTTTCCATGATCGGAGCATGTTTCATGAAATGATAAGCATAAAAACCATGAGAATATTACAACGTGCGCATTTGGGGTTTTATGTGTTATAATTCGATGATGAATATCTTTAGATCTAAATGACAGATTATGGTATGATTGGGCATATTTTAATCGAATTTTCTGAAAATAATGAGGTGCCATTTTCCACAATCTATGCATGTTTCATGAAGTTATGAATGAAAACGTAACCTATATTTTTCTTAATTTAATGGTTTCATTTGTGGGATAGCATCGTAAGAAATATATTTAGATCTAATTAACGAATTATGATGAGTTTGGGCTCCTTTTAAATGAAAACAATGACGTGCAATTTTACATGATCTATGCATGTTTCATCAAGTTTATCCTGCTGCGCCTCAAGCGCGCCCATTGGGTTTTATGTGTTATAGCAATATCAGCAATATCTTTGGATCTCATCGACGGATTATGGTACGCATGTTTCGTGAAGTTACGAATAAAAACGCAAAGTGATGCATAGAGCTGTTTTTCTTTGCTGCGCCTTAGTGCGCCTGTCTGGTTTAATGTGTTACAGCTCTATGAACTATATCTTTCGACCTGATCGACAGATTATGGCAAATGTGGGCTCTTTTTAATCGGGAGAATCTTCTGAAAATAATGCTGTGCGGTTTTTCAAGATCTATGCATGTTTCGTGAAGTTACGAGCTTAAACGCCACAGGACTGCAACCTCTGATTTTTTTTTTGCTAAGCTGCATGTCCTAATTCTTTTTTATGTGTTACAGCTTTATGAGAGATATCTTTAGATCAGGGCTGCGTTTCTCGATAACGATTGATCTTAGTGCTTAAGAGCGTTTTCTACGAGTCATTTTACAAACGTTCGTTATTGTTTCACATGCCGTTTCCCAAAAATGCACTCAACACAATCGCACGTAGCCGTCGCTACAGGAGTCACTATCCATTTGTCAAATGCTGAAATGTCAATTTTTTATAGAATGGCTCGTAATCGTAGTACACCCTAGTTTATTGAAATGTTAACCTAATGCTGCGTTCCAGACAGCTCGGATATAATATAATATAATATAATAGTTTTAAGTATAGTAGGCTATTAATCTACAATATATAATAATATACAGGGACGTGCACAGACATTTTGAGGGGCAGGGGCTCAAGTGGAAAAAAGGGCACTTCTCGTATATTTTTTTTAATTTTATTTTTCTAAACAAAACATTAAACATATTAGGGGTGTGCGATATTGACAAAAAATATATCTCAATATTTTCTGGGATTTTATCGATAATAATAATTAGACGATATTATGCGGAGTGTGTTATTGTGCTGATATCTTAAGGACTACCGTGGACAGCTGACTCCTAAAGTTTTTGATATTCTTCATATTCTGTGTGGTGATCATTTCACAGCAGTGATAGAAAATAATATTTTCCAATAAGTTTAAATAGATTTTTTCCTTTTATGGGCATTTTTACTAAAAGTGTGCATCATCTTTTCAGTCAAATTCTTAAATGGAATCAGTCAATTAGAATAATAAGTCATTTGGGCTGTTACCAAGCAAATGAAATCAGTATTGACAAAATTAATCTGCAATGCAGAGAAAACACAGAAGCTGCATTAGAAGGGGCATTTAGATGCATTTACATAATGTTTAATGCAGGACATGAATGTATTTAACCTGCAGTTACAAATGCATTAATGCTGTTTTGATATTTTAAACATAAAACGTTGAATACTGATATTTGAAATTATTATTATTTTTTAAAAGAAAATACTTTAAATGGGAAATTAAAACAGTCAGTAGGTGGCAGCAAGTCACTGTTAATAAGTGAGTCATTGTTACTGAACCGAATCATTTAAACAGTTGATTCATTCAGGACTTTATGAAATTCTGTATAAATTCTGGGAAATTAAACATTCACCCAAAAAAAAACAAAAACGTTAATTTTATAAGTGTAATTTTATTAGGTGGCAATTTATCTAGTTATCTATTTAATGTTTCTAGACAAAGGAACTGTGCTGAGTGTAATGCATAAAACAGACATGTATCATTTTAAAAACTACACTACACAGTAAACACTGCTTAGAATTTTAATTCTACTTTATTAATTTCAATTTTGAATTACAATTCTGCATCCTGTTTGCTGTCATTTCAAATTCAGGAACTGACTTCAATTTAAGGCACTGACAATTTAATTCTGAATTATGCACAATCGATTACAATTACTGGGATCGGGTGTGTGTGGGGGGGAGGTGTTTGTGGTTAAGAATATGGCTGATGTAACACTTGGTCAGCAATGTGGGGGACCCATAATTCTAAGTTAGTCAAATATGTAAGATTAATATTAGGTTAAAACTACTCTAAGGGGTAAATGGATGAGTTTTTATACAGTTTGGTTGCTACAGCTTACAATGCCTAATTTACTTACCCCAGAATGCATAAAGGGGGTCTAATTGACAAAGTGATTTTATTTTAAAATAAAAAAAACATTTGTTAATTCAGCGTTTCATAGAAAATAAATAAATAAATCTGACCTTCGTCAATGTCTTTTTTCATGGCCAAAGGATGAGAATATTTCAAAGTTTTGTATCACTACCCCAAGGTTGCATCAAGGCTGTCAAAATGTCCCATATTTATTTTATCACATTATATCTGCAAGAACTGTGGGTTGTGAAAGTTTACAACATATATACAACACACATTCACATTTACATTATTAATACATATTACAAGACTAATACATACTTTCAAATTTGTTTGGGTTTATTCAAAAAAGTAGAATTGCATTTTAAAAAATATAGCTGCAAGCAGCAATTAAGGTGCCAAGTGCTACAGAAACAAACAACATCCATAACTTTTTGTCAGCACAGTCTGAAGATGATCTGACTCGATTTTGGTAAAATCGGACTAACGGTCTAGGAGGAGTTCGAAAAATTAGATTTTCAACATAAATCAAAATGACAGAAAGGAAGTTTGTCCAACTATGGCAAAAGTGGCATCTATATTCTCGGCATGACCAAAGGAATATTTTGAGGCCAGTTTGATTACAATAGGCTAATGTTATGAGCATAAAATTAAGCATTTTTGAAAATGTCATTATTAACTGTTAATGAATGGTTTATCACTTTTGACCAATAGGTGGCACTGTTACCAAATTGATGTGGCGTGGTCAGTGTGAGGTAACAATGGCCTATTCAAAGTTTGGTGTCAATATGTCAATATGATACAGCCTCAGATGCAGTTTGGCATCATTCCAGCAAATTCGTTGATGTGTCAAACGACAACCGTTTCATATATCGACATTAAATCCATACCTTTTTGCCCGCATGGTCTGAAGATGATCGGGGTCAAATTTTGTGAAAATCAGACAAATGGTCTAGGAGGAGTTCGAAAAAGTAGGTTTTCAACATAAATTAAAGTCGCTGACAAGTTCAGCTGACTATGGCAAAATTAGTATCTATGTTCTCAGCATGACCCAAAGAATATACTGAGACCAGTTTCATTACAATAGGAAACTAAAATATTTATTACAATATACTCAAAAGTTATTAGCATTTTTGTAAATGTCATTATAACTTTTGGCCACCACTAGGTGGCGCTGCGCCAAAACTGTGCAGGTAGACTCAGGTCATTGTTGTTATAACACACACCACGTTTGATCAGAATACACTAAAGCATTGTGGAGATATGGCCTCATGTTAATTTTTTGCATGCTTTTCGTTGAATTCATTTGCACATTATTCGAGAACGGTAAGACTAATCAACTGGAATTCCATAACTTTTTTACCAGCATGGTCTGAAGAAGATCTGAGACAATTTTGGTGACAAACGTTTTTCGAACTATGGAATATTGCAAAAAATCTTGACCCGTAGAATTTTAAATTTTGGTGTCCATTTGAGTCGGCATGAGCCAAGGAATCAAGAGGGAAAAAAGTTAGTAGCATAAACATAAGTGCAAATTTGGGCGTTAGTGTTGGTGCTAGAGAGTTTGAGTTTGAGACTCCAAACTTGCTATGGTTAATGTTGAGACTGTCCTCTATAGGCCGGGACACACCAAGCTGACAAGAACTAGCGGCAACAAAAGCCGATGGTGTTGTCGCCTCACGTCAGCACCGCCTAGACCAAAAAGCTGCACTTGAACACACCACTCAGACTACAGCCAACTGCAAAATAACATGTGCGTTCTGCGCTTGCGTGAGATGAATTAACTGTCTTATATCAGCAGCTATCAATAGTATATATTCGTCATCCAAAAGGAAAAACTGGATATACGAGATATACGAAATGTAAACAAAGCAGTGCTTGCTTGCCATTTTGAATATCAATTATGTTGATAACTTATCAACTAAGTGGCTCGTGTTGTTATGAAAACATTCACAATTGGAATGTTTGGGTAAGATCTCGTAACATTAGAACAGTCTTCTGTCTGGGCCTGCCTTCATTTACTTGCTCATTTCAATCACTTTCGCTTTAATTCTCCGGCACTGACTCGTTCGCTAAACTGAGCATCCAATCAGAGTTCTCACTCTAGCTGATGGCCCTGACGCCGATTTAACATGTTGAATCAGGCATTCTTCCACCGAAGTGAGCCCGACGAGAGCCGACGTGTGGAACACACAAAACAAACTAGCCCGACGTTGACCGAAGGCCGACCGTCGGCTTGGTGTGTCCCGGCCTAATTTCATAACTTTCCAGCAAGCGGTTCTATGGGCTGCCATAGACTTCCAGAGAGGAAGAAGAAGAAGAATAATAGGAACGGCAACTGATACAATAGGTGCCATTGCACCTTCGGTGCTTGGCCCCATATAATATATTTTCACTGCATATATACAAGAAAAGTTAAACATTTGTGTATCAAGTCTTTTCATTTCATTAAAAAAAGATTGCATAATAAAAAAGAAACATCAAGTACAATAAAGTTCATTTTAACCCCCTTTATGCATTTGTGTAAGGTTTTGTTGTTTATTTTTTGCATTCTATGGTTGCAAATTAATTTGAGAAATTTGTGCATTGGGCATTGATGAAGTCTCAGCTTTAATTCATTTGTGCTCACCTGGGCTGATTCTAGACACTGGCGCTCCTCCAATAGGTGCGAGAGGTTTGTTCATCAGAGCTGAGGTGTCCCACAAGTCTTGTTGAGATTCCTTGTTATTCAGAGATGGTGTGTTCTTGCTTATTAACCCTAGGATTGATAGAATTATTATGTAAAACCTAATTTATTCAAAATAGTCTAATGTGGTATTTACGTATACAGTGATTTGCTGCATTAAACATTGTTTAAAAGGCATTTATTTTTAACGAGTTGAGAAAAATGAACCTTTATGCAAATAAGCAGTGATGCAATGTGTCAACTGTCAATGAGATCTGAACATGTGATCTGTGTTCTATGAGATACTCATCTCAAGTCTTTACAAATGATCTGTCTCTGCATACATGCAGGGATATTACTTTTAAAATGTGTGGAAAGCCATGTCAGGAATTGTCAGCATTGTGAGCTAGTTTCAAATATGCATTGATAATAATCCGCTGTAATTAATAAACAAAAAACAAAGAAAGAAAAAAAAAACATGAAGTGACTAAATGAAACTGATATCTTGCCTGGCAGGTATCTGGACTGGCGCAGGTAATGTTGTCTGGCTGAAGAGGTGCTCTGGTGACTAGAGTCTGGTTGGTTCAGTCTGCTGGTGTTTGGTAATTTTGTTACAGTGCTAAATGTATAAAGGGGTTTCTGGTCCTTGCGCCTGCAAAGTTTTTCATAACATAAAAAGAGTGAAATCTCAAATGGAATAACTGAAATTAAAAGTGCAATAAAGAAGCACAAAAGCCTTATTCTCAAACTTAGTCAGCAGCCATGATACTAGACTATGATACTAGTAGGTTTCACAGGCATGCTCCCAACACAAAAGTCTGCTAAAAAGGTAGGCAACAACATTATGCAGCTTTCTAGATTAGACAAGCCTTCAGCACAGATCCTTATGGCCAGCAATGAACACATCATGCTAGAATGAGCTGGGACCAAAACAGTTTTTAACAAGAAGGATGTTCTTTGTGATTATGACCATTGATAAGCCTCTACTACTAATCGTCTACTACTGGCTAACAGAGGTGGGACCGTTTTGCAAGTCACAAGTAAGTCTCAAGTCTTTGCATTCAAGTCTCGAGTCAAGACAGACAAGTCCCAAGTCTTAGACGGGCAAGTCCAAGTAAAGTTGCAAGTCCTCAACTTTAAGCTTCAAGTCCTAAACAAGTCATTAGTGCTGTTTGCCAAAAGTAGTGTCTCTGTATTAATTACTGCAGTAAATTTGAAGTCATTAATAGTCTATAGTAAGTATAATTATAAAGATATAATAATTAGTGGTGTTTCATTGAGGAATGAATCATTGTGAACAAATATAGGCCTAATGAATGAATAATTTCAAGTCAACTGTTTCATTTGTAAATTATTCAGTAATTTTAATGAATCAACTGAGTCAAATATTTAACAACTTGCTAATACTCATTTATCGCCACCTACTGACGTAGGTCTACAGAAATAGACATAGCTTTATTGACATGATTGTTGGGTATTTATAGTATTTACAAAACCTTTATAGTACTTTAAGTCTTAAACAGATACGCTGATACAGAATGTTAATTACTGGGCAAAGAGATGCATAAAATGAAGCTGAAAAGTAAATATATAACAATAGTTATAATATACAAATGTTAAATAAAAATAAGAAACCATCAGTGAATGGGTTTAAAAGACGAATTGGATAATGTGTTTTCTTATAGCTCTATATTATTTTATGTTCTTATATAGGCAATTCCTTCAACAAATATTGATAAATTATTCAAATGTCATGCTGTCATGGAGACAAGTGCAATAGTAGTTATAATCATGACACTGCACTGTCTTTTTGTTATTCTTCATTCAAAATAAAATGTTAATATTTTAATAATCCTAGGGGTTGAGTTAAGTTTGGGTTTAAATTAATATGAGTTTACAAGGTATATGTCTCTTGGCCACAAGTAAACCAAACATGTCCGGCACCACACCGTTCACTATAGTAGTTTAAGAAATGAGGCATGCAAAATTATTCACGCCAAAACTGTAGCTATTTAGATACACAAATATATGTAAGTGAATGCATTTTGTGTTTTAAACAAGTTCATAATGTTGATGGCTTAGTTTAGGGGTCTATATGTGGCTTAGGGCTGTCAAAATGGCTGAAAAACTAAATTCTAATTTTGTACTTAAATATTATCAAAATTCGAATTATATTCGAATTTAAAATGCATAATTTCAGTTAGGGTGAAGAAAAGATTTTGGCTTCTCTCCTGAGGGCACAAAAGGGCGCATCGAGTAAAATATTACTAATGCACGTTTCTTCAAAGCATAAGTAAGTTGCTTAAACAACTATAAACAAAACAGCATCATGTATGTATGCATAGTTTAATACAAAGGGCTGAAAGCCAATCACACAGAGTACATTTTTTATTTAAAAACACGAGTTGAAGTGAGATGGGGAAAAAAACCACGCCATAAAGTCTCGAGATATGTTTTTTCAAAGTTGAAATTGCATTAATTTTACATGGCTTTCTAAACATGCGGCTATTTTGTGCGAGACGCGAGTGCAACGGTGATAGACGTCCCTCTAGAAAATGCGCAAAATATGCTTTCTGTGTGAACGGCTTGGTTTCAGTTTTGACGTAAACAACAACATCTCCGCATTGATGTTTTTTATTTTAAATTCGACGAATATTTTAAATTCACATTTTTTTTTGACAGCCCTAATGTGGCCTACCATGCAGTATGAGCCTGTCAGATTTACAACAAGTGAGTTCATCCATTTCTTCTGAAAGACATGAAAGTGAGTGGCTGGTAAACAGGAACAATAGAGTGAACTTTATAGGTAGGCTACATACAATGTGTGTTTGACGTGAAAAAAAAATCCTATTATTATTGCCATTTCCACATACATCTGTGTTTCTTCTTCTTATTATTATTATTATAAATGGTGTATAGTGATTATGTGTATTTTAAATGTCTAAAACATTAAGGCAGCGGCTATTTGCACTAAGTCTAAATAGCGATAGAGGCTATTTACACTAAGTGCAAATAGCAATAGATGCTATTTACACTAAGTGAAAATAGCAGTATTTTTAACAATATGCCATTTACACTAAGTGCAGATAGCGATAGATTCTATTTACACTATGTTAAAATAGCAGGATTTTCTGCTATTTATACTACTTATTGCAAATAGTGGCAATTATCTGCACCTCAGTATTATAGTACATTATAAAACAGTATGCAGTAATAACATATTGAGTGTAAATTATAATTTTAATTCAAATTATTAAATGGATGCCACCTTATTGGGACAATAAAGCCCTCCCTACACCTACCCTAACCCTACCCGATACTTTATTTTCAACTTTTTGATTATTTCCTTAATTTTTATTGAAAATAAATGTAAAATGTAAATAAATAAATGTGATATGAGATTTGAAAAGGGAGAAAAAAAAGTTTGGCAAAAGGCGGATTCGAACCCGGGTCGATCGCGTCAAAAAGACTACAATACACGCTTTACCATCTACACCACTGAAGCTGACAATTGTCTGCCGTCTTTTATATTGTTGACCATCCCTATCACACGTTTCTGGGTGGAGCTAGTGTAAATAGCCTCTGCCAGCAAGGCAGGAGTGTAAATAGACACTCCGAAACATTAAATAGCCTTAACATTATGTGGTTGAAAACACTAACAAGCACTCACTGAGCCAGTCCCTCTCTGGCTAAGTGCCAAAAGCTGCACTAATTGAGACTAAGTCGACTAACAAGTCTTCTTTGATTATGTCGAGTCAAGTCACAAGTCCTCAAATTTGGGATTCGAGTCCGAGTCAAGTCCAAGTCATGCGACTCGAGTCCACAACTCTGCTGGCTAAATAGCAACTCTACCTTCATGTTCAGACTACAACGCTCCTTTTCCCCTAATGCCAGTGTGATGTATGCTGATCTTTATGCAGAAAGAGACTGATGCAAAATTTACTGAATAACATCAATCTTGCAGCCTCCTTAAACCGTTCTTAAACTGTTCATTTGGCCAGGGGAGAACTGGTCCCAAGGTTTTTGCCTCCATTTCTGTCAAATGATGGAGTTTGGGTTCCCTGCCACTGTCACCTTTTGCTTGCTTAGTGGGGCTCAAAAGACACTTAATATTCGGTAATATTACGGATTTGAAGGCACTGACACTATCGGATGAGAACAAAACTTAAAGGGGTCATATGATGCGATTTAAATTTTTTACACCAAATACACAAAATAATGTTCTATTTAGCAACATCATATGGCCCCTTTAAACTGAATTGAGCTGAATAATGACACTATTGTCTTTTTTTTAAAATACTTTAGAGCTGAATCAAATGTTCATAATTGACAAATTTTGCAACATTGACATTTATTGAACTGAACTGAATCAACACTGAACTGACTCTAGCTAAATAACGACACTACTGTCTTCAGTTGAACTGCTTATCGCTGAATTGAACTTGTTTCATAAATGATGAGCAAACAGAGAGCCATACAGTGCATTTCAAATCAAATGGTTCAATTTCAGTTTGGATGCCTTGTTAGAAGTTTAGTAGATAGCAAGGCTGCTTAGTAGGTTTCAAATAGTGTGCTAATTGAAATGTGCTAACACTGCTGATGTTAAGCTCTGAATGTAGAGATCATACTGTGTAGTAGTTTTCTCCTCCTCAGGGCCTTTGCTGGGTTTTTTAGAGAGGGATGCTGCGGTATCAGAACAGTCAGACTCATCCCAGCTGTCTGAGGGTTTCATGTTGGTCTGTCCCCACCTTCTTCGTCCGTTCTTCAGCCCAATCAAACTGTTCTCACCCCCGACCACCTCATGTTAGGAACACAAAGTATCATTGTACTGATGTTCATTTAGGTACTCAAATGCAATAGAGAACTATAACAGGTAAACTTTAAGTTCCATTTTTATTTATCACAATTTAATTTTGTCAAGAAAGGGAGAAGTGGCTCAGTGAACATTTGGCTTATTTAAGAGACTGTACTGCATCATACAATTATTATTAAATATTTTGAGTCACTTACGTTTTTATGCTTAATTCCCTGTTCAAATTTTCAAACTGATAAACAAGGTAAAATCATTGTCTGTGATAATCAACAGTGTGCCACAGATGCAGTAAAAAAATATATAATAAAGTTAATAATAAAATACAACTTTTAAGATTTTGCTATATCATGTGGCATAAAAAAAAAAAATCCATAATGGGAATCTTAAGTTTTTCAAAGGTAATTACAACATTACATCTGAGAAGGAGGTTTTGCACCTTTTGTGTGTATGGAGCGAGATGATCTGTCTGAGAATGGGGCAGAGGAATCTGCTGCAGTGGCTGATGGGAGCTTCTGCATTGGCCTTTAGTCTGTGACGGCAACGCTGGTTCTGAGACAGACTGCAGCTCTGATCTGGATTCAATTGGCAGGGTCGTCTTTATCTGAGCCTTCCGTACATCGGGGGTCATGGGTAGGGGGCCCAGAACTTGTCCTACTTGGAAGTAGGGGTATCTGAGTGCCTAAAATTATGTTTAGAAACAATTACTTACACAAACATTAATACTGTCTTTATAAGAATAATTAAAAGGGTCATATGATGCAATTTCAAGTTTTCATTTCTCTTTGGAATGTTACAAGCTCTTGGTGCATAAAGAAGATCTGTAAAGTTGCAAAGACTAAAGTGCTTGTCAAAGGAGGGGGCTTTGTTGAAAACGACGAGGTGGGGCATAGAGGACCTACAATAATGTACAGTATTTGAAAAATAATGTTTTTTGAACATTAAAGCATGTCAACATATTCTGTTATACCAAATACACAAAATAATGACCTTTAAAATAGCATCATATGACCCCTTTAAAACATTGATGTCAAAAATTTACTGAATTGAAATATTTGAGTTCTTCTCCACCCCCTTCCTCCACTGCTTACAGCACTCTTTGCACATTTGTATGCATTACACATTATTACTATAGTCTGAAATGTGACATGTTTGTGTCAGACTTACAGACAGGGCAGAACGGGGGTCCCTGGGCTTGAGGTTATGTTTGAGCCCTATACACTACAAATGCCCTCAACTAGAACATCATACTTTGAGGTTGATATATAGTACAATTAATATGCAACATGTCTAGCCTAGTCAAATTATAGATGTAATATTAAATAGTCATTATAATACAATAAACCCTAAAATAACAATGAGCAAAAAAAGCCAGAGATGTATTAGTATTACAAAAATGTATTGTCATCTATGTCCTCTTATGTCAAATTCTTAAATTTAATCAACAATTTCAATCTGAATAAATAAACGTATTGGCTATTAACACTCAAAAGAAATCACTATTAACAAATTCCATATGGATTTTGCATAAGTTTAAAATTAAGTTTAAATATAACATTTTAATGTAGAAATATTACATAATTGTGAAAATGAAATAATAACCGGTAACACTTTATAATAACGTTCAGTTGTAAGTTATAAGTGATTAGTTAATGATGAACTAATCATTTACAAAACATAACTATGTGTTAATAAATGATTAATAAGTGATTTGTTAATATTTGTATCTGTTTTGTAGATTGAGTTATAAATCATTTACAAGTGATTAGATGATGATTAACTAATCATTTACAAAACATGACTATACATTCACAAATTATTAATATGCTAACGATTTACCAATCTGTCATAAGTTATCTTCAAAATAGCATATCATGAAATAATAAAACATATCCTTAGTAAATGGTTAATAAGTTACTAGTTAATATATTACTAATCACTTATAAATCATTGAAATGTCAACATTGTACTATTATCTCACAGCGTTAAAAATACTCCATGTGTGTCAGAGAAGACATCTGTCTACACCCTCACCAGTCAGCCCTTACATTGCAGTACACACTACAGTGTTCAAAACCTGTTGTGCAACCGCATGAACACATTTACAAAGCTTTCTGCATCCCCTAATCTAAAGTGTACACTACTCATCAGTTGTAAATGTTTTACTCCTCATTCGTAGATCTTTCACCCCAGTGTGCACACAAACACAACCTGTAACCAGCAGGTTTGTAAAACATTTACAACTGATGATAAATATATTAAATGCATGCACAGTTTTAAGGCAGCTTTAATCGCCTTTTTAGTAACTTCATGACTTAACTGGCCACGACATTGAATGCACGTAGTTTATTTCGCGCTTTGATATGAAAGGATACAGCCTACAGCGCGCACCGGCGCCTTTGTGCGTGCAATTGAATAGCACGCGCTGCGAGCACAGTACCGATAAAAAATTTTACATGCATGCAATGTATTTAAAAATTTTTTTTTAATTAAGGCAGCTTTAATCGCCTTTTTAGTAACTTCATGACTTAACTGGCCACGACATTGAATGCACGTAGTTTATTTCGCGCTTTGATATGAAAGGATACAGCCTACAGCGCGCACCGGCGCCTTTGTGCGTGCAATTGAATAGCACGCGCTGCGAGCACAGTACCGTTTCCACGTATGGCAAGCCAAGAGGTTCACATTTACGCTATAGATAAATCGCGTTTACATACAAAACGCCGTATTTGAAGGTGTTTTTAACAATATTAGCGCCGTCAAATACGCCATCCTGATAGCAGACGGCGTAAAAAATGCACGTAAACCGTAAAAAAACGCCGTTCTGATTGCACAAAAGCGCGCTTTATTTACAGCGTTTTCCTTGTAGTATAATAAGCCACGCCCGCTGATTTCCACAGCCAGTAATATTGAACTGTTCTCACCCAATCAATGATGAAGAGAACCAGACCGGACTAATTTACCACAGATCGTTTAAGCGGAAGAAGTGCCTGTGAACTGATAGGAAATATTTATGTACAAAGTAACTTTTTGTATATTTTCATTTCTACTAACATTGAACATAGGCCGATTCCACGTCTTTATCATACCTTTTGCCTACAAACAATAAAACAATATGATAAAAAACAATATGATTTTCCATTATAGATTACATTATGTGAGGGAGCTAAGCGATTGTCCGCGCTGCTGTCGCCGCAGTCCTGACATAAACGAGCATCTGCACGCTGCTGAAGTTATAAAAAGACACTGTTTTAAATGTATTGTAATATTTTTACTGAAGCGTCATAGGATTAATCTCCAATATGCTATTCAATAACTGCACTCAGACCCAGAGGATATGACTTGTTTAAGATGATCAGATCAAACCAGTTATTTTTGAATAATACCGACTCTGGGCTTGGAATATTTCTTTATTCGAGTGACTCAAGTTTGATTTAACAACAAAACTAAATACGAACAAAAAGAAATAAAGAGAAATTACAAACAGTTTGATTTTATTATTATTATTATCATCATCATCACTATTATTATTTTGTTCTGTCTGAAGAACAGAAAAATGAAAATTAAGCTCGATTTTTTGTATTTTTATGTTCGTGGATAAAAAAACGAGCTTATGCATTTGTGCGTGAGCGGCCCTGAAACGCCACTTTTCAATTCAGCGTGTCTTTACCGTCTGTCCCATCAAGCAGAATAAGAGTGCATCTGATGTACCGCTCTGCAAATTAGTCACAACGTTTCTTCCTACTGTTTGGCTGTTGCATAGGCTATATTTCTTGCAAATATACATCTCATGTAAAGCGCAACACTGCACTTCTCGGGTCGGCGGCGCCGGCGCGATCCCTTGCATTGTGATAACAGAGGAAAGAAATATAAATGTCTGCTTTATTTTGTGTACTTCCACAATAACAACAAAACGTTACAAATTGTTTTTGTAAAATAGGTTCTATGTCTATAGACAGCTTGAATTGTCTACTTAAATGAAACAATCGAAAACAAATTGATTTAATTCGTATAAATCCAACAAGAGGTAGGCTATAGGCTACTGTGCAGTCTTTCCAGTCAGAGCTCCTTATCTGCATT